AATGTACAAAATCGTAAGATTATTATTGGATAGTTTTCTTTTAAATATAAAAATTGAAGTTTTGTTGTCATCAAAATAAACTACCTATATATTTTAGTTAAACATATTCAATACAATAATACCTTATTGGCAAAAATTACAATAAAAGTAAGTACCTACCTACCTACCTGTGAAACGATATGTCAAATCCTTGCTCTTAGTCTTGCTAGCATAATGCAAGTCGCTACTGCACAAGATGATCCTTCTGAGTGTTTTTTTTTGAATCTGTAAACATGATATCCGATGAATTATTGTATTCAAATTAAATATTATTGATAGATATACAACCTGCAAAAAGGAATGTGAAAACGATCGTATACTAAACTCGTAAAAACGCATGTGAAAAATAAAAACAATGTTATAATATTCACTATTGTAAACAAATAATGTCTCCTATGGGAGACGCCAGAGTCCGATTTCTCCCAATCCTGCTTTTTGATATTTTCAATATGAGCCAACCTTTATTATCTATAAACCTTGAGTTTGATCTGCCTTCGCAGTTGTAAATAATCGGATAACTTGTATTCGTAGCATTTTACATTCGGAGTAATATGTTCGGAGCATTATATTATTATGGGGGCAGCGAACTATCGTGGCAGTAGTAGCAAACCCCATTAGGTGTGTAAGTTTTTTGAAAAAAAAGTGTACGCTTATATTGGTGTATTGTTTGTGGAAAGTGCAATTGGTGTGATCAGAAATCTGTTTTCGAAACAAACGTTTTTGGTGTACCTAGATCAACCAGGTGAATTACAGAATCAACTATTCGCTGATAAGAAATGATAAGGATCACCCGGTGCAGGTGACTTACACCTGATTTCGAGTCGTCGTGAGAAAAGTGTACGCTTTTTGTCAAAACGAACAAACCAGTTGTAACCAGTTGTTCCACCTATCACCACGTGGCACGTACCAACAATTGTTATCAAATAATTAATATTATTTGCCGTTGGAATTTTGAATCGTTCGGTCGTTTGAAATTTTTAATGTTGAACAGAAGACGTGTCTTGACATATTATTATTGTTGTTTTCGATTATAGAGGTACAATAATTATTGATTTTAAATAATTTATAATTTTTTTTTAAACGACTCGCAGGTGGTTCCACAATATAGCAATATACCCACTACCCCAAAGCTTATCATCGAGGAACGTTTATACAAGGTGCGTCCGGCATGACCGTTGTGTATTATCTACGCGTACGGGCATAATGTCCATTTCGCATAATGTCGTCCGTGATTGTTATTATTATTATTATTATTTACCCTGGCCGGCAATGGACGACCCTGTGCTGGCGTCGGTGCGGCATGGCGTGGTTACTGACCAGTGACACCTTGTTGTAGGCGTTCACTCGTCCGTCGTCCGGTCGTTGTCTGTTGAATTTAATATTATTCATTACAATATTTCTAATTAATGACTTTGAAAAATGTGTAGTGAGCAGTGACAGTGATTGCCCCTCGCAGAAGGCACATCGACACGGTGTTGTGCGTCTTCGTCGTAGCGATAATCGCCAGCGGTCCGCTGTCGTATGACCACGAATTGATGATATAGGTACGTACCTCAGTTCTTGCGCATGACTTGTAGTTAGTGATTTATGTAAGTTACCTACCAATTATTAATGTTGTACTTTATGCTTTAACTTGGGTATAGATGCAGTTTAGTTCCCCCGAAAATGTGTAGTGAGCAGTGACAGTGATTGCCCCTCGCAGAAGGCCCATCGACACGGTGTTGTGCGTTTTCGTCGTAGAGATAATCGCCAGCAGTCCGCTGTCGTATGACCACGAATTGATGATATAGGTACGTACCTCAGTTCTTGCGCATGACTTGTAGTTAGTGATTTATGTAAGTTACCTACCAATTATTAATGTTGTACTTTATGCTTTAACTTGGGTATAGATGCGGTTTAGTTCCCCCGAAAATGTGTAGTGAGCAGTGACAGTGATTGCCCCTCGCAGAAGGCCCATCGACACGGTGTTGTGCGTTTTCGTCGTAGAGATAATCGCCAGCAGTCCGCTGTCGTATGACCACGAATTGATGATATAGGTACGTACCTCAGTTCTTGCGCATGACTTGTAGTTAGTGATTTATGTAAGTTACCTACCAATTATTAATGTTGTACTTTATGCTTTAACTTGGGTATAAATGCGGTTTAGTTCCCCCGCAATTTTGCATTTTTTTTAATCTCAACTTACGGTATTCGACGTCTCGAGTTACGAACGATGGTGTTATCAGAATTTTTCTCTCGGACTTAGTTTTGAACTTATTGCCGTTTAAATTTCACCGATGTACCATCTATTACGTGAAAGAGTCTTGTACCTTAGAACTACAGTTTTGGAGATTTATATATTTAGTTTATCGTTAGAAATTGTATTGCGCTACCTCTAACTAGATAGTACAAGGATAAAAATCTTTATTAAAAACCAATATTTCTTTGAAAAAAAAAAACATTAAAGTAGAATGCAATTGAATTTAAACTTCATTAAGGTACTGTACCTTTGTATGTCAGTACAAAAATTCTTATAAAATCAATGAATCATAAAATTAATATTTTATTTATTTACATTTGGGTAGGTACAAGCATTTCATTAATTTTCACCTTTAAAGATTCAACACTGACTTGAACAGTTCTTTCAGTTTGATTATAATCTTTCAGCAAAAAATATAAATGTACATACTGTTGTTTGTAAACACAATCAAAACAATTTATGTTAATTAAAAATGAAAGATCAATATTAATTTAAAAAAATATATTTAGGTAGGTTATTCAGTAATTTCTATTGAGTATATTTGTTTTATTCTTACAAATTCATTGAAACATAAAATAAATATATTATTTATTGACCTTTGGGTACAAGGATTTCATTAATGTCTTTTTCTGATGGTTTACACTGACTTGAACACCATCGTTATCTGTAATATTCTGATTTAAAGATTTAACACCGACTTGATTAGTTCTGTCTGTTTGATTATAATTTTTAAGCAATAAAATAAATAAAACCATATTTGTTGAACATTTTATCAGCTACGTTTTTGTATAGAGGTATTTCTGATATAAAATTAGTATTTTTAAAGATAATTTAAAAAAACTGAAAAATTGCACTTCAAATCCAAGTTTTGCGGACACTTCCGGACCTCGGAGGAATGGCGACTTTTTTTTGGTTTATCTGGAGCCTATAACAAAACTTTCTGTAAAGTTTCAAAACATTCCGATTTAATTCCTCAACAAATTGTTAAATGACTGGACTACCATAACCCTAAACATGTTTTAGAATTATGTTTGAGTGAGATTAATTATCCAACAAAACAAAACTCAAAAATATGTATAGTAGACTGAGTAATATTGGTAAATTAATTGGACAGCATTCGCCCTGTTTATACGGACCTATGGGTTATTATGTACGTACTTATATCACTTATTTAATTATGTTATGTTCCCTTCGAATTGGTAAGATAAATCCATATGTATTTTTAAGTTTCAGTATAAGTAGTTTAAGAAGTTTAATATTTAATCCAACAGGGAATTTACGACAGTGTTAAAATTTTTAAATTTAAATTAAAGTATGAATAAAAAAAAAGGTGGTTATAAAACATCGGAATGCACAAATTTAACAAGCAGGACTAAATTGGTATAAAACAACAAAAATATATATTTATATTTACATAATAACACATATTATATTATGTAGATTTATGATGTAGGTATCTATATAATTTATTTTAATATATCGATATGGATATACAGTATATTGTATATAGTTGGTTTATAAAATATAAAATAAATTACCGCAGATTGTATAATGAATCTTATCGGTTTTTTCGTAGATTTTACAATGTTGAACTTTTATTTGTCTCAGTTTACACATGAACTTTTAGAATAAGGTTAATTTTGCCATCTCTGATTTTAATTTCCATTGGTCTTGAAGAATATTATTTAAAACGTTTAAGAACATCAATTGTTGATGGCAGAAATGATTACTTTTTAAAGATAACTAAAACGGGTTATAAATATTAGTAAAGATGCAATAAAAAAGTTACCAGATACTATTTATAGAGTGCCATTAGAATCTAATAATTTTTTATGAAGTAGATGTCATTTATTGATTTTGTAACTGTTCTGAGGAAAATGTAGGAGTATTTTGTAAGTATCAAGCAGCATATTAAAACATATATGCCTAAATTACTTGCAGCTGTTACTGTAGACTCTCTGCTTATGTTAGAAACATTAGCATTTGGGGAGGATGTGCCTGATAATTAATTGTATATGTCATTACTTTTAGAACCCGATTCTAAACCAACTAATAAATTATTAAAAGAAAATAAAATTGAACATTTTGAAAATTATATCTAATATTCTTATGTACTTTCATTAAATACAAAATAATGTATTTGTAAGTCTAATTGGTACTACTACTGATTGTAAATCTAATGAATTTGCTATTGAAATTCCAAAACTCTCATAATAAAATTTTGTAAAATATTATAAACATACCCCAACTTCTGTACTGAGTATAGATGATTATAGATGATTAAAAAAAAAGTTAGAGTTTTAGTTAGGAGTAACTGGTCTACCAGTTGGATGCTGTAAGTTATGTCAACCTCCATCGCCTTCACTTCTACACTTATCAATCAACATTTTAATTACTCATTTGTTATGAGGTACTTGTGTTATTCAAATACTTCAATTAAGCTAAACGTTCTACTATTAATTTTGCTAATACATAGTATAATTGTTTTATTAATATGAATTAATACCTACCTATTTATTGCTTAATAATTGTATTATTGAGTATGATTCGAGAATATTAATAATATTGGTTTATTTTTCAACTGAATACTTTTAAGGTGGGTTGTATTTTTATTTTAAAATCGTTCGACTAAATAGGCTTACCTATTATGAATGATTGATTTTCATTGATTAAATATAGGTATTATTAATGTTATAATTATATTTGTGAAACAGACGTAAAAATGGTTGAATATTCAGATTCAGAATTCAAAAAAAAGCTGAAGCTCTTAACAGCCTCTCAGAAAGCAATTAATTCATTGTCTACATGGTGCCTTGAACGACATGAACATTACAAAAGCATAATCAGTATCTGGTTAAATACTATTAAGAAAGTGAAGATCAAGAAACGTTTGCTTTTGTTTTATTTAGCCAACCATGTCATACAATACAGTAAGAAACAAAAATACAAGTTTATTGATGGATGGAAAATTGCTATTCAAAAAGCCATCCCTTATGTAAGGTAAGTTAAACTAGTTACCACATTTCAATAAGTATTAATAACAAGTAAAAATATAATGCATTTTTTTCTATCTCCCAATATGCGGTCTGCCATAATAATACTGATACCAAATAATATTGTATAAAATTGAAACAATATTGAAACAAATTTAATTTATTAAGAAATTCAATATTAAAAGTATAAATAAAAAGAATTTAATTCCAGAGATTCATCCAGTCACAAATATAATTTTTGGATTTCCCTGTAAATTTTATTATTTGAACAAGTTGATTGTCCTAAACCCAGAACTACACAATCTCCATGATTTCAGACTTAATTCATTATTTTTTTCGACCATTTGAGTCTACGCAAGTAAAAATAAAACTCTTATAAAACTCTTTTACTAGCATTTTAATATTATTTATTTAAAAAAAGTTGTTTCACCATAAACGACTTTAAACCAACTAACCTAGTAACCTGTTTTGTTACATGATAAAATATATATCGTTATGAACAATTAAGATAAAACATATAAATTGGTAGATAATAAATATAAATGATGATCGATTTCTAGCTATAGGTAGGAAGATAACATAACATTGGTAGACCGCATACTATACTCATATATTTTATAGCTACGCAGTACACAAAACAAAGGTACACCGCATATTGGGAGATAGCCCATTTTTCTAATTAATTTATTAGAAATGTGTCAGAATACCTATATGTTGCATGCTCTTATAAGATTTACAATTTAATTATAAATAATTGCAATAATATGCACAATATACATTAATAGTTATTATAAATTTATATTTGAGATTTTAATTAGTTAAATTTATTCTTAGTCTTCTCTGCCATCTGATAAGAGAAGGTTCTTTGATAGTCACGGTTTTGAATAACGACTTTCTGTTTTAGTTCCAACTAGTAGAACTGTGTTCTATTAGAGGCTTTTCAATTTGGTATGGTCATTTTTGAATTGGGGGCCTTTAGGCATATTTTCAAAAACTTGTTTTGGAGGATTTAGATTTTGTCTACTTTTGTTAGAGAGGCTGAAGCCTATACTTTGCACTTATAGGTTAGTGATTAGTGGTTAACTTTACTTATTAAATTATACCTATAGTAAGATAGATGATTTTATTTAGAGCGTTGATTTATAGTTAACTAATGGGTACTGGTATTCATTCTTTTATAGTCTTATGCATATTTTTTTATATAAATTAATTTTTCTTGTCAGCTTTTCATCCAGGAAATTGTTGACTTAGTCATTTTTAATAATCCATTCTATATCTTGATTTTCTATGAGAATGAGCTGAGGTTCTTCGTATTGTTTTGGGATGTATATTTTTGTTCCACTTTTTGATTTAGATTAAGTTTCCATTTTTTGAACCAGGTGGTTACTTTATTTATGGGTAGTTGGAGATTTTGAATAGAAGATGCCAGGGAGTTGTCTTAGATTATAATTGTTGTATTGTGAGCAAACAGGGCCAATTGAACATTTGGAGGATTTGGAATACCTATCTTGAAATGTATACTTCAAATATAACCTATTTCAACTTTTCTTACAAAATATAAATAATCATATTTTAAAATGTTCCTTTATGTTATATTTTTAATTTTAATTTTAATTTTTTTAGAGATGAAAAAATACTTTCTAAAATTTTAAGAGTTATTAAAATTTGGAGAGAACGACATGTATATAATCATAGTTATTTAGCTGATTTAACTGGCTTATTATCTGCAAAAAATCTTGAATTTAAATTTGCCGATCCTGTACAAGGTTGTCAAGTAAGGACTGTTTTGAAATATTCTATAATAATAATTTAACAAATTAATCAACATCATGCAGTTAAAAAAAAATATTAAAATTTTTTTTTATAACTAGGTACCTATCTATATACATACTTTATAAATTTAATAAATTTACAACATTGCTATATTTTTCTCATATAATAAATATAACCTATGCTCATAAAATATTTCATAATATTCTAATATTGTATTTATTATTTTTACATTTCATTTTAGCAAAATGTACCTAAAAATGTATTCTAATACTTCGTAGGAATGCTTAATAACCTTTTCATATATAAGGTAACTAAGTACTTAATAATTAATAGGTTATTAATTTTTTTTAATGGCAAACCAGAAAGTATTAAAATGTTTATTATTATAGGTTAAGTATACTATATTTTAACAAAAATCTTATAATAAATATTATAATATGAGATTTTAAATTAATTATAACAACATCAAAGCCCCAATCATGACATCAAACATAATTATTTTTCATAAATTATTACTCATGAGGTCACGAATCAGGAGTTAAGGGGCCATTACAGTTACATTTGTTTTCTCTGTTTTACAACTGCGTAACATAGCAAATTCTCATCAGCAAAACACGTTTATCTCCCTTTAGTTTAAAAATTAGAGCTAATTGACCTCTTATAAAATTTGAAGGTAAGATTATTATCTAGACAATGACATTGGCTTTTTATTATATTTTAATTTTAAAGCAAGTTATGGGTATTTTAAGATGTACAAACAGTTTACAATTTTAAAATACACATAACTCGCTTTAAAATTAAATTATAATAAAAAACCTATGTCATTGTCTAAATAATAATTTTACCTTTAAATTGTATAAGAGGTCAATTCGCTCTAATTTCTAAACTAAAGGGGGATATACGTGTTTTGCTAAGCATAAAATTTGCTATGTTACGCACTTGTAAGACGGTGACAACAAATGTCACTGTCACGTCCCCTTAAAGTAAATACATTAGCAAATCTAGATATTTAGATGCTGAAATATGCTGAATTTTTCCACTTTCCAATAAAGTAAAAATATATCATCAGACATCACAATGGCACAATATGAATAATATGAATAATATAGTTTAATAAAAAAAATTATGTCACATTTGAAATCTTAGATACAATGATTTTTAGAGATATATAATAACTGCTATTTCATAATAACTTACCATACATAATCCTAGATATCAAATCCTAGGTAGATACAATTGTACAAATGAACAACAACTTTTAGAGAAATTGAAAAATATTTGAGAATTATGACAACTATGGAATTTAAAAAATATCTTATTCAAAATAGTTCATCTTGTCTACATTTCAAGAATTTTAAAAATGTTTTAATTCTTTAGAATTTATTACTCATGAATCATGAATTCATAATTAGAGTAAAATAATGTTAAATACATTAGCAAATCAAGATATTTAGGTAGTTAAATATGCTGAATTGTTCCACATTACATTAAAGTAAAAATGTATCATCAGACATCACAATTACACAATATGAATAATATGGAGAATATAATTTAATAAAAAGAATGATAATTATAACTATTTATGGAAAATATTACAAATTTAAAATTCTCTAAACTCGCTTTAAAATTTGTAATCTAAAGATTTTAGATTACCTAAATTGGTTCTGATAAATACAAACTTGCTAAAGACCGACAAATGTGGACTTGGAGTTTTTTTAAAACGGATTTTATAAATAAATGCTTTTGCTTCAACTTTTATGTGTTGACATTTTTATAAAAATATTCTGACATATAGATGAAATTCTCAATAATATAAATTAAAAATTCCTAAGAAGAAATACAAATAATATTTTTGTTGTTAGATAAGTATGGAATTGTATGTAATGAATTGTATATAAATGGAACAACTAAAACAATGTATTATCCCGTATATAGGTGTAATTGTAAAACTAATCATTCTTAATGCATATTATATAACATGGGCAGCCACAATGAGGCTCACAAGCCACATGTGGCTCTTGAGTCAGTTTTGTGCTGCTCTAAGTTATTTCTATAAATAAATAAATATATCTTTATTTGCTATTAAATGAAAAATGTGTTTTCATTTTATAAATCATGTTATAAGCACCTCTTAACAATGTGGCTTGCTCAGAATTAGCTTCATACATTTTCGGCTCTATAAATTAAGATAAGTGGCTACCCCTATTATATAATTTTGGGTTAAAAAGAACCCTATTTCCTTTTTAGTATGTTGTATTTGAATACAACATACCTAAATAATTGTCCTCTAAGTTACTAGACTATAACTTTAATTTTTTGGTATATAACTGATGTTAACTCCATGCACAATATTATATATTTTTAATTATTAGTATAATTTATTAATTATTATTGATTTAAAAATAGTTTTTACATTTGTTTAAAAAATTTAAAATAAACATTTTTTAAGTTTAAAAAGATTGCGAGATTAAAACTGTTGCTCATGTGAAAACATTTTTTTTTCATATGATATAACAAAAAACTTATATAAGAAAAATTTCAGGCATGTTTCATAAACGCTGAAAAAGTGAAACTTCTAAGGAAGAAATTGAAATCCTTGATTGGTTCTATGCCAACAGATTGTCGACTGCTTTCACCTGATACTAATGAGTCATTCTCTTCAACATCTTCTATGTCTATTGAAGACTTAAACATACATAATATCAATTACGATACTGTATTAAACTCTGATAATATTGATAGCATTAATGATACTGATATTGATGCACCCACTACAATTATCAATAATACTAAGTCATATATTACTCCTGAAAATTCTATACCTGATCAAGGTATTTCAAATGACATTTTGTAAACTGCCCATTTTGTTTTTATTTTTAAATCTAAATATTTGATTATTATTTAGAATTGTATGACCCAGCTTCTGCGGGTAATCCAGCAATTGAAATCGAAGATCAACAATCATTAACCATTCAGTTTCCAGATACTCCATCACCGCCTCCAGATAAGACTTTTGTATACCCAGCATCTCTTATAATACGATCAGCAAAACTAAAAGCATGACCTTCACGCGCATGTTGGCAAATTTTTATTAGGGTTTTTACGACTACTTTCCGGCTTGAAGTAATTTGAAATATATTCACATTACACATATTGTTTAATATATATCTATACAATGTACATACATACAGGGTACTCACAATTCTTCATTTAACAGCTGAAATATAGTTGTATTAGCTGTATCGTGCTCACATAAACATAGAAATATTTAGAACCACTGGACTGCACAAAAATGGCCACCATGCGTGCAACAGTCACGCTTCAAGTTTCGCTGCTCATACTATAATCAAACAAATGTATCATATTATACTAATCATGACTAAATAAACAGGCATGTCAGCTAGATAACACTGCTCATAAAATTGTGATAAAATGTCTCCAGACTTGGAATAAAATATTGTACGCTATAATAAAAATCTACACTATCCATTTTATATTATATTTTTCATGTCGATAGTGAAACTTGAGTTGACATACCTATTCATTTATTCATGATACTAATGATGTACGCTTATCATTAATTTATTATACTATAATATGCACAATTTTTTTTTTACAGACGAATAACAATGATAAAAGTTCTATATATTGTACAAGTAGTTATGAAGATTATGCACATAATCCAATGTCATCTACTCGTCAATTTATAACTTCCGGAGTCTCTATAAATATGGCACCTCCAACTAATTCATCATCAATTATAAATGAAAATACTATAACAGTTCCTCATGTTCCACAAACCGGTAATATAATTTTATTATAATAGATTTTCATAATAAGTTATGCCTTATTTTGTCCAATGGTTAAAAATGTTTTTAAAAAAATACTTTAATTGTATTGTTTTGTATAAAATATTTAGCAAACAATTTTTCTTCAAATCATCACGAGATTAGTAATTATGTCCGAAATTTTTAGCTTGGGATGTAACTGTACACAACGATGGGTCAACAAATGACACAATAGCATCAAATTATGGAGGTACAGGAATAGATCACTGTGCCTTAACATCAAAAATAACAGATAGAGATGAAATAGTTTCTCCAGAAATGATAACTAAAACTTCTGTTTTTGACCACAGAAACTTAATTAGTTTGACACATTCTTCTCATAATAATTCACCAGCGGTATCTGATAACCAAGCATTTTCAAACATTATTATACATCCGTCACAACTAGATTTGCTTAAGAAAGTATTCAGTAAACCACTAAATAATTTAAATAATTTAGAAAGGATTGATAAGGATTTAAGTGATGATGATCAAAAACATCCTGTAGCATTACCACTTTCACCGCCAATTAAAACATCGACGCCACCGACTATGACAACATCAACGCCACCACCAATTAAACCACCGACGCCACCACCTATGCCAACCTCAACGCCACTACGATTGTCACTACCAATGAAACCACCAACACCACTACCTATGTCTACATCAACGCAACCACCATTGCCACCACCATTACCACCACCAATGAAACCACCACCGCCACCACCATTGCCACCACCTCCACCAACTTCTGTTATTGACCACACCGACTTAATTAGTTTGACACATTCTACTCATAATAGTTCACCAACGGTATCTGATAACCCAGGATTTTCAAACATTATACATCCGTCACAACTAGATTTGCTTATGAAAGTATTCAGTAAACCACAAAAAAATGTAGATAATTTAGAAAGGATTGATATGGATTTAAGTGATGATGATCAAAAACATCCTGTAGCATTACTTCCACCACCAATTAATCCACCGACGCCACCACCTATGCCAACATCAACACCACTACGATTGTCACCACCAATGAAACCACCAACACCACTACCTATGTCTACATCAACGCAACCGCCATTGCCACCAACATTACCACCACCAATGAAACCACCACCGCCACCACCATTGCCACCACCTCCACCAACTTCTGTTATTGACCACACCGACTTAATTAGTTTGACACATTCTACTCATAATAGTTCACCAACGGTATCTGATAACCAAGAATTTTCAAACATTTTTATACATCCGCCACAACTAGATTTGCTTATGGAAGTAATCAGTAGACCACAAAAAAGTTTAGATAATTTGGAAAGGATTGATATGGATTTAAGTGATGATGATCAAAAACATCCTGTAGCATTACTTCCTCCACTTTCACCACCAATTAAACAACCGACGCCAACATCTACGCCAATACTATTGTCACTACCAATTAAACCACCAACACCACTATATATGCCAACATCAACTCCACTGCCATCGCCGTCAACAATGAAACCATCGATGCAACCGCCATTGCCACCACCATTACCACCATCACAGAAACCACCACCGCCACCGCCATTGCCACTACTATTACCACCACCTCTACCATCTATGCCAACATCAACACTACCGCCATTGTCACTACCAATGAAACCACCAACGTCACTACCTATGTTTACATCAACGAAACGGCCATTGCCACCACCATTACTACCATCACAAAAACCACCACCGCCGTTGCCACTACTATTATCATCACCAATGAAACTACCACCTCCACCATCTATGCCAACATCAACACCACTGCCATTGCCGCCACCGACACAACTGCCATTGCCACCACCGACACAACTGCCATTGCCACCACCATTACTACAACAAATGAAACTACCACCTCCACCATCTATGCCAACATCAACGCCACCGCCATTGCTGCCACCAATGAAACCTACGACGCAATCGCCATTGCCACCACCATTACCACCAACACAGAAACCACCAACGCCATCGTCATCAAAGCCACTACCTTTTATCTTGCCTTTTAACTTGGTCCAACAAAGTATACCAGGTGTTACAAACCAGTTGGAACAATCTTCGCAACCATTAAGGAAAGATAGACACAGTTTAAATAAAATGCAGTTGAATTTAGGGCAACCTTCTCAATGTCATTCAAAATTTGTATCTAATCAACCTCAAATTCAATGGCATGTACAAGTTCAGGGAATCAAATCAAAAGAAGATTTTACGCCAAAATGGAAGGGAAGAAGAATTAGTAATTGGCCATCAAGAGATCCTGGAATTTACAATCAAAATTCTAGACCAGCTGGTACATTAAATCAGGGATCACGTATTGGGCCCGAGGAATCAGCCTTGGTAAGTGAACTGTTTTAAGTTAGAATAAGACTGAATTATAAAATTTATATTCTTATAATTTAATCACACTATGAATTGCTGTTGTTATCATCAAGGAACTAGACTTGAAGTTTCTTGTATATGTTTTGTTTCATTGTCATGTACTTGTATACTCCTTATTGGAGTTGGAATTATGATGACCTAAAAAACACACAAAAATGGCCATAAAACTAACAAATAAATGACTAAAATACTCTACTTAAATTAGTGAAAATATAATTATAAGTATGGATGTGATAATGGGTGTCAGAGTCATTTAAAATATAAATTGTAAAATTAATAAACAATAGTAAAAATTTAATTTTTAAGTTTAATTTACTATAAAAAAATATATGTAAAATAGCAATAACAAACATAAATTAATATAACAAAGCTCACAAATCTATAATTTGAGAAAAATACCCCACATTTAACAAAAACTACATAAAATGTACTTTAATAAGAAATAATTATGTAAAAATATAAAAAAATTTACAATAATATTTACAAAAATACAAAAAAATTCATTTATAGCTAAAAATTCCTGAAAATACAACATACAATTTGTTTATTCTAAACCTGAAAAACATCCTGTACCCTACACCACCAATACCTTTTGAATTTACCCAACAAAGTTTACCAGACGTTACATAACAATTGGTACAACCTCTCTAACCATGGAGTAGAGATATACCCAGTTTAAATAAAATCCATTCAAATATAGAACAACCTAATCAATGTTAATCCAAATTTGTATATAATCAACCTCAAATTCAATGTTTAGAAAATTCATACCAAAGGAGATTTTATGCCAGAAAGGAAGGATGGAAATATTTACTTTTCATCAAGAGATCCAAGACTTTTGAATCAACGTAGACCAGCTGGTACATTGAATCAGGGACCATGTATTGGCTCCGAGGAATCAAACTTGGTAAGTGAATTGTTTTAAGTTAGAAAAAGACTGTAATGATATAATTTATATTTTATAATTTAATAACACTAAGAATTGCTATTGTTATTATTAACAAACTAGACATTAAGTTCCCTGAACATTGTTATGTATTTGAATACTAATAGTTAGAGATTGGATTTTGATGAATTAAATAACAAACAAAAATTCCCTAAAAATTCAAAATAAAAAAATTCTCATTTAAAATTATTAATTCGAGGTATGGGTGTCAAAGTAATAAAAAATATTAATTGTAAAATTAATTGACAATAATAAACATTTAAATTGTGAGTTTAATTTACAATAAATTAAAATGCAATAGAAATAAAAAAGAAATATTAATACACAATCAAATTTGAGAAAATACTCCACTGTACAGGACACTCAAAAACAGATTGAAAATTAAAAATGCATTTAAATGGTATTATCATTCAAATATTTAGGAGTAAAATGGATTTTAACCTAAATGGTCAGAACATAATACTATAATAATAACATAATAACAATATACATAATATCAAAAATAAATGAGGAGTTTTAACTGTTTAACTGTTATTTTACAAATTTTGATAATCAATTATAAGACAAAATTTACATGGCACGTGTAATTTGATTCTATTATACGGCATAACCAGGTTGGGAAGCACCAACGAACAGATATCAATACATTGCATAACTACACAAAAAAGATTTTAACAAGTAGTATACACCCTGCCATGAAAATACCCATCAGAAGAATTATTCACCATTCTAATATATTATCTGTTTATAAATTGTACATTCGGAAAATTTTAGTTAAATCCATACAGAACCATACACTCAATGCTACAGAAATAAAGACTAAAGAACAGGAAATACATTAAACCGTCATATACTTTTAACTATTTCTAGAAATTCTCCTAATTACATGGGGAAAACTACTTTCAACAATTTAAATAACGAAGTATAAGAGTCTAATAAAAGTTTATGTGAAAGTCAATCCAATTATACCAATGATATAATTAATATAATTATAAAATAAAATAAATAGTTAGTAATCTTGAGAATGATGTGTGTACCATAAAATCATAAAAAGTCAACATGTCTAAACATAATATCTTATGATATATTAATATGTACCTGTAATATCTAATGGTGATGTAAATTTTTGTTTCTAAAGTTTTTTTATCATGTTATGTTTATTTAATTGTATCATATTTTTATTGTATAAGTATTTACTTTAAACGAATTGTAATATCGTTGAACTCCGTATACCAGATACGGGCTTATAACTCAGTTGGTATTTGTATCAGCTATTATTAATTTATTTTATTGTAATTATTTAATTGTAATTGTTTTGGCTGAATAAATAAATAATAATAATAATAATAATGGTATTATACCAACTGTAAGCACTTATATAGACAATGAACACCCTTTTTCATTTTTTTATTTTAAACTAATTTAGCATTTTTCAATTTTATAGAATTGCAGAAAAATTGAAGAACCTGCTCCAACGCCCTTAAATAGAAAATAATCAAAACTTGTAATCAAATAGTAATTGGATGGTTTTATTTTATCTGTGAAGAATGAAATTTCAAACCTGAGTGTCATATTATGTTAAGTATTTTAATATCAACTGTAATCTGTATCTTACTTAATTTTTATGATATATGTTATATTGTTATTTTAATTATAAAATGTATTATTGTCCAAAATTTAAAATATATATAACAAACTATGTAAGATTTATAAAATGTATAATAATCTAATTAAAAATATATTTATTAATTTAGATACTTATACAAGTATATAATGACATATTACTATTATCTGATAATAAATAACATAACATGCAGCAATGTTGTGTAATTTAATAACTTGATATTTTTTTTTAAACTTAGTAAATAATGCTCTATAAAAAGTTACAAAAAATTATTAATCTCTATTTTTTCATAAGTAATAATCAGTTACAATTTATCTAAATTAGTGGGACAAATACATGCATACCAAATATAACAACAGTTGAGTTCAATAACTTGAATCGAATCTCAAGGGGAATAAAAATTTTTGACTTTAGTATTTCTCAAGAGTGCATAAGACTTTGAATAATATAATTTTGAATGGATAATTTTTGAAATCGGGGATTTTTTATACTTCAATAATTTGAATATACATTGATTGGTATAGGCAATATTGGAACTGACATTTGTTGGAACCAACATTAGTTAAAATTGATACATCTAGAATAAAATAGGTAAACTCGGAATCTAAATTCTTTGAACTACATTTTGGAATTGACAAAAGCAATACTGACACTGCTACACTAGTTGGAGCCGACCAATACCAGTTGTGTCATATATGCACCTTTCCGGTGATATAACTCAATCGACACATGAATAACCAAAATACCATAAATTCACCGGTTACAGTTTGGTTCTCAAGAAACAGATATTGCTATCTTAACTCTTTGGACTTTCGAACCTCAACAACCATAAATTAACCGGTCACAGATCAGATTCAAGTTATGTTTTAACATACAAACAGAGTAGTTAATCGGTCAGAAACACTATTCTTAAAAACACTACTTATACAATTGTGTTAATCACACACACTCGACTCTCGTCTCAGGGACAAATATCAGTTGCAGGAACAATAAGTTTGTATGGATTTTAAATTTATCATACGACAATAGTCCTAACGAGAATAATAATTTGTAGGAGGAGTCATGGTAGAAAGGCCAACTGAAGTAGATGAAAGTTTCTCCCAAGCAACTCCACTAGTCTATCATTATGGACAGACAAACATGAGTATTATGTATTCAACTTTGTATAATACTTTAAAACTCTAATGGAGGAAGTTATTCATCAACGAATGGATGAAAATCCTAGAAGTAATTTTTTATCTATTCAATTTTATTTGAAATTAATTTATATCATTATATCTATTATACAGATGGCTACACTACAAAGCGGCTAAGTGACAAAGTATATATTATTGGGTAGTAGGAGATGAGCGTTAACTATTGGTGAACATTTTAATATTTTCTGATAATTGTTTAATAATTGAATTTCATAGTTTAGGATTTATATGAGACTTCATGTGTAAAAATAAATGATTTAACTCTTCCTGAATACCTTGAAAAACGATTAGTCCCATTCGTTGTGTAGCCATCGATATAATTAGAAAGAATATTTAAAAAACATTGGGTCAGTATGGAATTAATTTGTTAATGTGTGTTTGAAAAAAAGCCAGAAAAAATATTTTGTGTGTTAAATAGGTAATGTTAGTGATTATTTTTTTAGTACATAATATATTTTTCTCGGCCTTTAAGAGTAATTAATGGATCCCAGTGTGAGGTAACATCTTTATATCAGATGTAAATATGCAATTCATGTGCTGACGTTTTATATTTCATTAGTATTAAAAGTACTTATAAGTAATATTACGAATAACCGCACTAGTCATTAATGTCATTACATATTTATTTGATATAAAGTTCAATAACATACAGACGCTCATCATTAAAATGACTACTTTCAATTGTTGCAAGTAGTTAGGTTATGTAATATTATTATTGTCATTAAAAAATTATGTAAATCCAATAAACAAGTGTAGACTGATTTTTCTAACTATATTTATTTTGTTCCATGTGTGGTGAAATTGTTTATAGATTTAAGTGAACTGTAATATTTGATTAAAATTATAATTTTTGACAAATCTCTATACTTTAAAAATGTATTGACGAAGTAGCAGAGCTATATAATTATAATTATTATAGCAAAAATTGAGAATTAAATATCAATTAGTTAAACATTTAATTTTGTTTATAATAGATTATGATATTAAATATAAATTACTAATTTTAGTCTAAAAAAGGGTTTTTTAAAAAGGGTAATTAGTGTTAGAATATTAATAAATAGTTGCTAATTATTTATTATATATTATGTTTTAATTGCTGTGATTAATTTTGTATTAATTTTATTTTTACAGTTAACCTTATTGGATTAATAATTAACACGTGCGGATGGGTGAAATGTGCCTAATAAAAATCAAGAACGATTAATATTTTTTTTTCTTTTAAAAACCATCATAAATTACATAGGATCCAAAAACATTGAATTAGATTACATGATTATCTATCTCTTTTAAGCTTTTAGCTTTGTTTAGAGATAGACATTAATAATTATTAATTAAAAACTATACACATTATATTATGTGAGTAGCACAATAGTTGATAAATGGATAACAGAAGTTAGGAGAAAAAAAAATAAAGAATAATACAGATAAATAAATATTTTTAACATAGTTAAATTATTACGATTGAGAGATAATATGAATATTACAAGTAACATGATATTAATTATAGAATATAAAATAAAATATAGCAAAGCATATTAGAAACTTAGATTAATTGCGAAAATAACCACTGATAAACATTTTTTTTAACATTAACTTTTTAACAGTGAATATTTTTTTTATTGATATGGCATGCCGTTAAAATACACTGTACCTAAATAATTTCTGAAAGATTGACCAAAATATTTATTTATAATATATTGACAATATACCATACTGTTTAGTGTTAAATGTATTATTAGCAACATTTTAAATTAATATAAAATAACAACATCTTATTATACCAATACCTACAAATTGAAGGGTAATGCAGCCAAAAAGTTGGCGACAGATATTGGTAATTTTGAGTGGTGTCACTCAAACATACATTTTGTCAAAATTTGAACTTTAGATGCTTATAAAAAAAATTATGCCTTTGTATTTTTAATATTATTCAATTGCTATTGTATCAATATATCAGGAGCTTTGCATTAAATTATCACGCTTTTTTAAACAACAAAAAACATTTTATTGATATTTATAGAAAAAAAAACAAAAAAAAATGAAAACTGAAAATGTCTTTAACAGCTCAAAAAAGAGTAACAATTTTTTTTTTCATTGGTAATTTTATTTTCCGTGTAAAAATAATAATATCATGACTCCAATTTCATAAACATATTGGGTTTGTTGTTAATTAATAGAAATAATTATTTTGTGTTCAATTTATTTAAGTTAATATAAATTGAATTATGTATAGGTACAGCCTTTATAAAATATAATTTCAAAGTTTGATAATTGATTATATAATATAATATAATATTATATATTATATATTATACTTTTTGATGATTAAATATATACAAAATTAAAATATATTTTATAGGTACCTAATATATTTTATTTTACCTCTATAATTTCGTTACAAAGTTCCTGTCATCATGGGTCTATACAATTAACTTGTGCATAGCAGTTCATGATGGTGGATTATATTATATTGTCATATTGAACGTTCAATATTGTACAATATGATATAAAAAAAAAAAATAAATAATAATAATAATACATACAATTTCAGCTAGTACCTAGGTACTTATTTTCCTTTATTACCTATTGGATTAGCATTAGTAATTATTAGTGTGGGAATCATACAATTTTACAATAGTATATAATATGCTGCATTTTTGAAAACATGTGTAACAGAATATAATATTATACTACCTATAGTATTATTATAGTACGTTTCGTCTTTACGTGTATTAGATAACATTAAAGTATAATTAATATTAACATATAAATCTCGGGACCGCATTTCAAGCCTATAACGAGACTACATTTTATTCAACCATCCTAAGAAAATCCTCATCTCAACGGTCTTGCTACACGCAACTGGTCAGCAATTGACCTAATTGCTAGTTTACCACATAACACCTATGTTGGTTTCATTCGTTTAAAATTCATCTGATTTCAACAATTTTTTTCTCTATATTATAAATAAATATCTCTACAAAAATACTATTTTAGAATTTTTTTTAGACCATGGTAAAAGGTAGGAAATATAAGGGACATAATTAATATAATATAATTGCCGCATATTAGTATATTACATTACAAATTTCATGGAAATCGTGAGCTATGTTAATTAATTTTTTTATTTTCCCATTTGGTTAGTGCTTCCGGTCATCAACAAGTAGCCGGGTGGTCTAAATCGACATTATCTGATATTCTGATTCCCAAACTCAATTCAAAGCCAAAACATACGCTGAAGGTAACAACAACTAAAATTCTTACGTAGAACATACTTCCGATATACTTTCACATTTAAAATTGCAACTCTAATTAAATTATCTATACTAAATTATCTAATATATTATAAAATGATAGCGTTTGTTTGTATGTTCATGGTTAACTCCGAAACTACTTATTGGATCGTCTTGCAGTTTTTTCTTTAAATTAAAGAGGACATCACCTATGGATTGCCTACCTGATAATATACTGCTGCAAATCAGAATTTTTATTCCGGCAACGGAAAAGTTAAAATATATTTTGAACACCATACGGCATACACCGAATATTAAATAACGAATTGAACAAAGTTTGAGTCATATAGAGTTTTGCATTTATAGAACAACGAAGTACACGGGATCAGGTAGTAATAAATAAACTCTAAATATATCATTTGTCTTGTTATGTTTATAATATCTATGTCTTGTTAAAATTGTTTCTTTTCGACTTATAGTGTGATATGTTAACTATCAACCTTTGAGTTGTTTAACCTGTGTTGTTTAATTAGGTATATTGAGATGGTCGAGCTACCTATAAATTATAGGCTATAATCAATTATTTTAAGAGCTAAAAAAAAAGAAAGTAAATCTGCAGTAATTTTTTATTAAAATTGAAAGATTAAATGAAAAATGTATTGGCATTCTGTTCAATCACTGTTAAAGATTTTATAGAAAAGTTTTTAAATTCTAAGCTATGAGCACTGTAGCTACGATTTAGAATTTAATTTCGAAAAAAAATTACCTACTAATAATACAAATATACAATTTAAAATGCCCTTAATACAACTGGGTTCTTTGGTATTGATATGTGATCAGTAAATTTATAATATATATACCTACTATAGTTAAACTAATAACTGCAAATGTATCTAAATATTCAAATAAATTACTATAGTAATTAATAGCAATATGAATTTATTACAAAAATATATAGGTACTTTGTATTATGTAGGCTGACACGTCCTTTACAATCAGATTCATTTTTTGTATGCAATGATTTATAATTGAATTAAAAATAAACGTAAAACATCCTTGCAGTGGCCAGTGACTCAATGCCTATGGGTAAGTACACTCAAAACTCAAAAGTCAACACCTATGAATTATAATACGCTGCAAAAAAAGGATTTCTCCGGTTTTTTCATTTATAGTTTTAAATGGCAGGTTTCAAATACCGTGTTTTATTAGTAAAACAACAATAATTGGACTACAGTTGGCCACAGCATAGGGAGATTGTCGCTTAATTCATGGTTCGTATCTATAATAAGATACTTACAACACGAATAATTAGGTATGCACTTGTTATTTATTACACTTCGCTGCTAGATGTTTCCTAAAATCGATTGATTACATTACAATTATTTATCTTACATAATATATTATATGTATATTGTATATATTTGGCTTAGTTTAACCAAAAGTTAATGTTTAGCATGATTAAAATTCACAATATTTTTAAATGCCCAGGTTAATTATAATAATAATCTATTTTATTGGTAAAGTCCTTTGGTAGTTTCGTTCCATGTATAATTATTGAAACTAAAAACAGTTTCTAAATTCCATACAAAAATCTATTCACGTGTACGAGTAAGTATGCACATACTAATATAGTACATACCTTTATACATATTTATGTAGGATATTGTATATGTATACACACATCACTTACAAAAATTATAATCTTTAAATATTATAATTAATTTTACACAAATAAAATAAAATAAATATTTTTTTCTTATCATAATGACCAAGAATTTTTTTAATATCTAATATCTAATGCTAACAAACATCTTATTATTTTTATTTATTATAATATATTGCACATTTTTTTTTTTTTTTTTGGAAACTAATTAATATCTGCTGCACGCTCTTCAAAACAAAAACAAAATAATTGAAGATATGTTTTGAAAGAATAATAAACACATAGGCACAACTAGGCCGACTTAGGTTAGGTAGTGATTTGCCTGTTTATAATATTAAATTGTATAATTACCTTGTAAAATAGTCTCAAAATTATTTGGAGTTGATGATGACATATTTCTTAAGGAATCCGAATCTAGAACGCCATGCACTTCTATATCAGTTATAGTAGTTAAAAACTGATCAATGGCTTCATTTGTTGGTATAGTTTCTTCTGGCCCTCCACCAGTCTTTTTTTTATTTCTTTTTTCAGCACATAGTTCGGATTTTTTGTTATTTTTTCTATTCTCCCAACATTTTTTTGAGATTAAGAGCAGGGCGCTAGTACAAATTGATACATTTATCATACAAAATATTGAATAAGTGCATAACAATTGGATAACTTACTGAAACGTTTAATGCAGCTGCATTAAATTCATCTGCCACAATATTCCAATACTTTGATTTTTGGGCTACTTGTACCGCTCCTTTTTGTTTATTTTCCAATACATGTTTATATTTAAAAACTAAACTGTCCAGCAGATTAATTTCATCTGCTTGGAATACCGGGTTTCTTTTAATAAGTTTTTCCGTCATACTAATTACTATAAAAATACTAAAATATTCGATAGTATCAAGGTGGATTTACCTTGAGAACAAGTTCCACCTTAGGTAGAACACTAGAATTAAATAACAATTTTTATTTATTTGAAAATAAAACGGACTACCTATTATAGTACCAGAAAAAAAAAAACAATATCATATTATCAAAGTGATAACATAGCATACCATAGTGATAAGCCGTACATCCTCCATGATATCATGAAAATAAAATAGTTAGTAAATTCTTAGTATTTACTTAGTATTATATTCTAAGTATTTACTCAGAATTTACTTTGTTAAGAAAATTGTAAGAATTTTCTATGAATACGATACCATTGAAAATTCTAATCTTTCACTTAAGGAAGTATATACTAAGTTTGAATTAAGTACGATCTATGAATATGGCTAATAGGTTCATTGTAAAAAAATTGTGACTAAGGATTTATGTTATTCAATTGCTATTGTATCAATATATCAGGAGATTTGTATTAAATTATTACGCTTATTTAACAACAAATAAAATTTTATTGATATTCATAGAAAAAAAAAAAACAAAAAAAAATTGAAAACTGAAAATGTCCGTTACAGCTCAAAAAGATTCAAAATATTTTCAAAAATGTAAGGTGTATAGGAAATGCTAATATAAATACTCCATGAAATTTTCATTTATCTGCAGTCGTTCGTTTTTTAATTACAACAAAATAAGAAAATCGTTACATGAGAAATCGAGTGAACATCAAATGTTGTAAAAATATGAATTTGAAACGCTCATAAAAATTTAATTTTTGTTTCTTGTAGCCTTTTTTCTTTGTCAATACATTCATCATTAAACTCAGAATCTAAAAAAAAAAAAAAAAAACACACATCATTGTAAAATCAATACATTCATCTTTCCACTCAGAATCGAAAATCGAGAAAATTTGACAAACTTTGATAAACGTTATTTTTATATTATGAACGTTTGAAGTTTAAATATGATGAAATATTTTATAAATTTTAATTTTAAACGTATAATAACGATTTATCCTTAAATTATTTTTATTACTTTATTGAAGTTCAAATATATTAAAATTTTAAGAATTCGACTATTACTTAAATCCCATACATAATAAAAAGTTCGAAATATTGAGACTAGCATATTAAGTTTTATGCTAGGTACCTATAATAGGCATTTTACATTTTAGATTCTGATCGGAGTGAGTTAGATTCTGATCCAGTCGTTTTACAATGGCGTTTATTTCTTTTTTTTTATCCTGTATACAAAATTTCTAACAGAAGGAGTGCTTCGATTTCAATGTAGGTATAGTATCTTATAATTTAGCAAATTGGTTCAAGATGGTACTTTAGAGAGGTCATTCGATTTTCTCAATAGTTATTTAATGCCACGAGAAAAACCACAGACAAATTACAAAAAACCTCTAAAAATGGGATTTTTATTTCTAACGCTTTGTTCATCACCATAGAAAAGATAAAAAATAAAAATGAAAATAACGATTTTAGTTATTTTGTTGTAATTTATAATATTGATTTATATTTACAGGCTAATGTGTGCCTTTAATAAAATATAAAATATCCAGACTGACAAACCGTCTCCGCTCAGAATTGTTTTTCTCATACAATGATATGATATCATTGAATTCAAATTAAATAGAATCCATTATACATTTACCCACTTGTAACCTACTGTACAGCAGAGCGGCATCCATTTATCTGCTTTATTTTAACTTTTTTAGTTTTTATGTTCATGAATAATTATAAAAATATTTTTCTAATCAAAAAACTTGACAATAATGTACAATTGTCCTCAAAAGTTGTTCTTACAGCAACCTAAAAGTATCTAAAACACATATTATTATGCAAAGTTTTTTTTATTGACATTTTAAGTTCAATATTTGACAAAATTAGATATTAAACGAAAAACACTGAGCTATCGGGCTATCCCTTATAAACTATCAAGTGTAGGTATCGTTTTCTTGTTTTAATTCAAAAATATTAATCATCATTATGGGGACTCATGGTTTGTTCTCATTTTGAATTTTTTATTGAATCTTACGTGCTCATGTATTACCTGTGTATTACGTATATAAAATCAAGTTAAAATGTATATATTTTATCTATCACGATATATATCTTAACGATTCAAGCATTTAGTTTTTTTTGTTAGTTTACAATAATTATTACATATTATTCATTTTCCCATATAAACATGTGCGTAATTAGGATTGAACAGTTACAAAGGGCTAGAGTCCTAGAAAACCAAAGTGTAAAAGCCACACACACCCCCTAATCAGTGTTACTGAAATTTAATAGTCACAAAAACTTTGTAAAATCAAGTCAAGTATCTATACTTCAAACCCTCACAACAATTTAATTTGACTTCCCTGTAAACATTTATTTTTGATAAAGGTATACAAACTTATGACTCATAAGTTATAAGCAATCTTGTATTAAATTTTAAAATATTAGATTTAAAAAGAACAATTTTTACGAATTTATAACTTAAAATAATTTTCATATTTTCGTCATTTTTATGTATTGTGTCAAAATACGAACTTTAAATGCTTATAAAACAGACAATTGTGATATATGTATTTTTAATATTTTTCAACTGCTATTGTAACCATATAATAGGAGCCTTGTATTATATTTTTAACTAATAACATTTATTGACATTTATAGAAAATATTGAAAACTATAAATGTCCGGAAACAGCTTAAAACACGTTAAATGTTTTGAAAATTGAATCGTGTAAGGAAAATGCTACAATACTAAGGTATAAACATTCACTGAAAATTTCATGTAGTTTATTCTACGGCAATTATCGATTTTGCGTAAAAAGTGCAGTTTTCCCTTAATTTATTATAGGTTTTCTTGGTGATTTTTAAAATGACTGAGAATTTTTTACTTTTGAGTTTTGACCACACAGTACGATACAACCAATATAACAATATTATAAGAATGGTAAGCCAATAAGGGTACCTATTTAAATATAATTAAATAATATATAATATTATGATGGGCTATTGGGGCGTAATATAAGCTTGAAGCTAATATGCAATAAGCAGATAAGTTATACTATACACAACACGCACATTTCTTCGGTTATAACTATGACCAATATTACGATAAATTAGTACTTAACGTATATTATATTATATTTTATAATAATTTATATTATTATAATATAGTAGACGCCGCTTATTAGACTCACGGATATAAGGTTCAGTCGCATATTAGACTCAAAATCATCTGGAACGGTCCGGACGAATCCAAAAACATTAAAAAAAAATCGGTTATAAGACTCAACACGTCGGTTATAAGACTCAAATTTCGTAAAATAAATAGTAGAAAATAAACTTTTTTGGTTATAATTTAGAAATAAATTGGTATTGAAAAATTCGTGTTGATTATTTCTAGTTTCTGGTGGTACCTTATAACGTATAATAAAAATAAATAATAAAATAATAAAAATAAATAATAAAGACATTATAATATTATGTACATACAACCTTTATAATTTTTTATTAATGTTTAATTTTTATAATATTTTTATATGTACCTAATATTTACCTATTATAATTTTAGTTTTTTTTTATCAGGATTATTAAATTTATTCAATAATAAAGTATGTAATATGTAATATGTGTTAAAGTATTAAAATCAAAGCAAAATATGCAATAAAATAAAATTTATAAATACGTAATTAATTTTTTTTTTCCACTTCGCCTATAGGATTCATTCGGTTATAAGACTCACTTTGTGCTGGTCCCAAAGTGAGTCTTATAAGCGGTGTCTACTGTATAATAATCATTATTAATTATTTTTAATTATTTTTTGAAAGTAAGTTTTATATGGCACGACGCGGGGCTGGTCGGGAAAAAACGTTTCTGATGAAATACTATTTTTTATAATAATTAAACCGTTATTTTAGGCTTTAGCCAAAACATCCAATTTTCATTCCATCATACTGATCGATCTAGTAATGCGATAATATTTTTTAAATAGATTTGAGTTCATTATCATGTCTACTTGAGATCGGTCAGTCCACTTCTTCCAATTTCATCCCCCTCCCCAACCTCTAAAAATTTAGCTTTAATATTTTAAAATTTTGGAATTTTCAAACGTTGATAATTCTGGATTTATTCGGAATTTAAAGAAGAAATCTTAAAATGTGGACTAACCGATCTCTAAGATAAATTCTAAGGAATTCAGATAAGTTTTCAGAAATATTATCTCATTATTAGATCGATTGGTAGGATGGAACAAAAAAAAACGGGAGCGGTAAGTTGTAGTGACGGTAAGTAATAGATTGATTATAAATATCTTGCGTATCTTGCTGTTCTACGTGTATTATGCATTTATAACATTATTATAATTAATAAAATATATATGTAATAAGTAGGGCTCGGATTTTGTAGCAAAATAAATCCTTAAAAAATCATTTTAAGTAGCCAAAAAAAGTATTTATTAATTTAATTCTAAAAAAACAAATTTCAATTACACACAAAACTAAATATTAAAAAAAAAAATTTACGATCATATACTTAGTCAAGTTACTTTCATTAAAACTCATTCTATTGGGTGCTAATATATTTTTATACATAATTGTTGAATGAATGGCTGAATTGCATTATGTTTTGCAGCTTCAAGTTTTTTCAATGCTTCTTTGTGTTTTTCTCTGCCAATATGTTGTTAAACATTATATTTTTTATCCGAATTTGTTTTGACTTCACACAATTTACGATATATAATATTTCGGTCAGGCATAAGCACATTTTCACCAAATACTCTTACGATTTTTTTTAATTTTAAATTTAAATTTTTAACTCTTGGCATTTTGACGATTATAGAGAAATTATTTAGAACACTATACGCATATAGTCTATACCTCACTGATTGTCAATTGATATTTACCGGCCAACTAAAGTATTAGAACGTGCTATAAAAATACGCAGGTATAATTCAGATAATTTTCCCTTTCCTTGAGTCGTAAA